GGACCTCTTATTTGGGCTGTTTTTCAAACTCCCTCTTTAAAACTGAGGGGTTCTGCCTCTGTCTTTAGACAGTTGATTTGAGTTAAGAGCTCTGCAGAGAGCTGCTCTTTCTCTGCCTCTGACATAGAATGAGGGTTCAGGTCAAAGTTTTTTCACCCCTGTCTCACAGCAGAGGCATGGGTAAATAAATGGCTGTTAGCTACTGGTGGTCTTGTTTTACATAGCATGCTTTTAAAAACTGCAGTGCTTTTCTGTTGAAATTTGGGCTTGATTTTTCATTTGTTACCAACTCCTATTAGTTAAACACCAGTTGGTTTTGTGTACAACAGTTATGGGGCACCCTCTTTTAGATATCTAGGAAAGTGACCCATCTTTCCCAGAATGATAATAAAAAACAATGACCAAAAGTGGGGATCTTTTGAAATACCTAAAATAATGTATTTGTATGCACAATTGGAAAAGATTGGTTTTAGAACAAGATCAATTTAATAGGAAACTTAGTTCTAGTGGCACCTAAAAAGTTTCCAAAAGAGATTCTGAGAATATTGCTTAAATTCTCAAAGTAAACAAAAGATATGCATCACCACAACTTGAGGAAATTTACTAGGTCTTTGACCCTTTCCCTGAAACTCCCTATTGGGGCAGACCCAGAGTTGCTGTTGAAGCAGCTACATTGTCTGGTGTGTATATCTTAGGGTTAGTCATCTCGTGCCAGGAAAATTTAGGATATGGAAACACAGGAGGCGTTTAGCAGTGGAGGTCTGATAGGCAGAAGAGAAGAGAAAGAGAAACAGCTCTCTCTCTCTAGAGAGAGGGGTCTCCTAGTGGAAAGGACTGGCTGGTGGCAAATTCACCGGATTTTATAGTCCCCCTTGAGGAGGTGCTCAGTTCTTGAAGAAGTGCTTAGTCTGATTTACCTAGGGCTCACAGGTTGGTTTGATTAAGTGCAATGTTTACATAATGCATGGGGAAGGCTGGTCTCCCCACCCTGATCTTATTATACAAATGAATTCTCCTTTGCCAGTGCCATATTGTCTACTCCTTACAGTACACGTGGCTGGCAGAGAGGAGAAGATGGAGCCGCCATCTTGAGCATGTCTAGTCCCTAGTTCCTGTTGGCATTCATCAGTGCAAACTCCCAGCTTGCTTGTCTATGTCTGCAGCTCGACTTTACAGGCTGCTCTTTGTTAGAAAATGATTTGGGGCTGCTTTTCATTAAAAAGAAAAGCCTTACTGATGACTTCCCTACCCTTACTATTTGCCTAAGTAATATCTTCTTAACTCCTGTATCACTATGAACCCCTTCTGGTTCTGGGGACTGCCTGATTCTCAAACTATTCTTTGCCCAAATAAAAAGATCACTCAAAGGACAATATGGGTCTCTACTATACAAAGGGTCTCCTTTGTTGCCTAGTTTACAATTGCTTAGGGCAATAAAACGGTAATTAAAAGATTAATAGTCTAAAAGGGGAAAATAAACAAAATTAAAACTGTTTATAAAAATGCAGATGCAACAATTTTTTTTTTTCTAAAATAGGACTAATGACTGACGCTGATGTTGAAATGCTAACTTCCAGGGAATTAGCTAAGCAGCCTTCCTCCTGAGATCTGATCTAAAACAAGTCAAAATCCTTGTAAGCTCAAGCTGCCTGATTTAGTTCCCTTGCAAGATTAACAGTAAAGGCTGCCCTCTCCTCATAGTCTAGTAGTAAGAATTGTATACTTTCACCACTGTGGCCTGGATTTGATTTCTGGTCAGGCAGTCAGTCCCTCTTGATTTGATATTTGTGTGACTTTTTACTTTTTGCGGTACCCATTTGTTACTGATCCTTTTAACTTCTATGGACAGCTTTAGGTTTCTTGTCTTCTGTCTATGAGGGAGACATGAGGCTTTTGGACCTTTGTGTGTTGATGGTAAGCTGAGACGCTGACACCTTAGAAAATATGGCCAGATAGAAATGTGGATTGTAATCCATTTGTGACTAGTGATCTTTCCTTTCTTGGAGTTGTATTTTGGGGTGATTCTGGGTCTTGTGAAGACTGCTTTAGACCTCTTTGGAAGTGTCTCATGCATTCTCGGTTAAGTCAAAACCTTGGTTAAAGCTTATTCATTTTACTTGGGAGGGTACTTTTGGTAAAAATAAAACAAAGCAAAAGCCATAAATGTAGGCTATTCAAGCTGAAATCTGATAAGAGTTTTAAAAAGATTTTTTAAGAGAGCTCTATAGTCAAAAATTGACTTAGAACTGAATTTTAGGCTATGTATATATACATATACAAACATATATGTGTGTGTGTGTGTGTGTGTGTGTGTATATATATATATGCCTCTTTTCACTCTCTCTAAAACTTTTCAGTCTACTGAATTTCTGTCTTCCTAACTCCCTGTTAACCATATGGCCACATGCACTCCCTTTGTCTGTTTCTTCATTTACTTCTGTTGGTCTTTCCTTCCTCTTGCCACCCTTGATACCACATGAGGAGACCATAAACATTTCTAACAGCCTGGGAACCCTTAAGGAAGACAGAAAAGGCACCAAAGACTCTATTCTTTTTTTGAAGAAACTTCTGTTTTACCTAATGAGTTCCCAATAATTTCAAACGGACAGATTCTTTTCAAGTCTAAAGCTGTACCCACGTTTGCATTAAACTCCTTGATCTTTTTAGCTTTTAGATACATATATGTGTACATGTGTATGTTCTATTTTGTGTCTACATATATATGTGTATATGTGTGTGTCTACACATATACATATATATGTGTCTATACATATACTTATATATTGTCTATGCATGGTGCAAAAGTAACTTAAATTTAAATGAGTACTCATAAATTAAAAAGCCAGCCCAATACTTTATGAGTTCATGTGACTTTAGTAATTTTTGGTAAATAAAAATAAGTTTAAAATTGTTCATAAAATAAGACAAAAACATATTTAAAACGTAATTTAGATATTTTTGCTAGAGCCTATTGGTCAGACAGGTTTAGGCTGTTTCTATTTTATGTTTTAAGGTCATAAAACTATTGCTTCTGTCATACTTTTGGTACTTGCTTAATTTGTCTGAAAGTTAAAGCTGTAAGGGCTGACTCCTGGGTTCTTTGAAAGCCTTACGCACATCTTACTGTGAGCTTGTCTTTAATTTTAAACCTCCAAATTCTGGGATGTAGACAAATGACCCTGGTGAGGCCTGGGATCAACACCAAGGCCCCGTTTTCCCTGGCCCAGCTGTGTCTTGGCCATGCTCAGAGGGATTAGATGCCCCAGTATTGTCTCCACAGCTCTGTTTTTTGTCCTGGACACTGCATCTGGTATTTAACAGAAGTTTATTTCCTAGGTTTTTCACTAAAATAAAAAGTTACTAAGACTTAACATTGTATTTAATATCTAATTCAAACTGCTAGATATAAGAGAAACAAGCCTATATACAGAATGTATAAAGAAAGTAAAATGTAAAGACAGTTGAAAAGAGAGTGTAAATTTTCTTTTACATGTCAGAGAACTTTCTGTGGTCAAAATAGTAAGGGGGAAAGGAAAGGAAATTTTTGTCCTAAAAGTAAAATGACAGGACAAAACTAAAGGTTTAAGGAAGTTGTGGAAGGTTTGTGGAAGATTGATTTTTGTCAAAGGAATTTTTTGTGTAATTAAGTTGGTGAAAAAAGGGAATTATTTAGTTTTACTAAAAATTGAACATTAATATCAAAAGCACACTGACGTAGGGCCAGAGTCTGGACCCCTGTGCTGGAATAACAGTTTTCTTGGGGCATTAAACTGATATTTAATAGAAAAATTGTAAGATATTATAAAAGGTTTATGGAAATCTTATCTTGTGTAGTCAAAGCTGATTGAGATTGGATGAATTGATTTATAAAGTTTTATTAAATTTACCTTTAGCATTAAACATATACTTCTAGAAATAATTTTTCTCTTTTAAGATTTTTATATAATACTATCAAGATAAGATTTTTGTTTACTTTTTGAGTAAACTACAAAACATAGAAGAGAGACAGATTTTGTTTGTTTTATGGTGTCTTTATTAGGTCTTATGATTCTTAGGGAAACTGTGCCTCCTCTCTATCGAAGAGGAAAATTTTTTGCTTTTTAAAATCTTTAAATTATTATTTTGGCTAAATGAATCACCGTTATTTTACACTGACCTGTGATGCTGTTTTGAACTTGTGTTTTAAATGTTTGATATTTGACAAACTTTCATATAAAAATTTTTAGTATTTTTAGTATTTTCAATCTCAAACTAACTTTTTGGATATTAGGCTTCCTGTCCAAGAGAGACATATTAGACTTATTTGGTATGTAAACATTATACAGAAAGAATTGTCAAATATGAAATGGTGTTTAACTTTTTTGGCTTATATTTGTATACATATGTTATTAACATGTATAAAATGTTATGAGTTATATAAAATTTTGGTATTTCTGAGTTTGTGTTAGAAATAATAATTATGATTATTATGTTAAGTTGTATGGCACAGAAATAATCATTTTCTTGTCAATTGTGTCTTTAACCAGGGCTATTCTATGACTTTTGTCTCTCACAGGCAATTATTTTTATACTCTGATTCTTCTCAACAAATGATTTATAATCAACTGCAGTCCAAAATTTGCTACTACCTTAAGGAAATTCGGTTGACTTTACAGAGCCAATAAACAACCTGTACCTTGTCTACATGGTTCCTTTACAAAATTTCTATCCTTGCAGTAGGTAAAGAATGTTATCTTCTGACAGGCCCAGGATCCTAAAGTTATTTTGGCACCTCAAGAAGATAGGAATTCACCCAATTCACACAAGTATTGCAGACAGTCTGATGAAAAGTCTTTTACTTGGTTAGCCTAAAGGGTTTTAAAAGTCTCATCTGAAATTTCTTGTGAAAGACGTCCCAGCAAAGCCAACTTTAAAAGAACCTGTATGGCCATTCTGTACTCTTGTTGCACTTTATGCAAATAAGCAGGCCAAATATAATATGAGTGAAACTTGTTTTGCAGATAAATTGGTCCTGCGAAGATTATCTTTGATGAAAATGGAGAATTGGAAAAAGAAAAAAGGTATGTTTCAGAAGAAAATTATAGTACATCTATTATTAGCTTATAGCCTTGTTATTTTTGCGTTTTATTATTTGCGTACAATTTGGAGTAGATGCTGAATCACTTCTTGGCAACAACAAATCTCTATAAAAGAACCCAGTTTAATTTTCTTTATAAAATAACCCAGTTTTAGTTGACGCCCTGACTAAATAGATTTTGTTGATGTTGTTGTGGCACACAAATCCTCTTTTGATTGTGCATTATGTTTCTACTATTTAATTTTTAAATGTTATTTCTCGTTGTTTTACTTCTGAAAAAGCTAAATTCATACTACTCTAATGACTAGGTATAATTCAACAACTGACAGCAGCCATAGATCAATGACTTTGACAGCACTACTCAGCAATGAATCTTCCCAGCGATGACAGACATTTTGACACTCAACTTTTCATCATCAGTTCTTTCGAGAATAAAGATTTTAGATCAAAAAAGGGAAATAAGAAAAGAAAAGAGCTTTTATCTGAGGAAGGCAAGTTCTATTAGTTATCAGGACCAGACAATAAGATGAGACAGCAATCCCATCCTACTCTCCACTTTGAGTTACCTATTCCTCTCTTCAAACTGCTTGCTATTGTTACAAGTAGCTATACATTAACCTAATAATCCCACACAGGACACTATAACCTATACCCTGTAGCTTAAGACTGTATAGCCAATCACTAATAAGTGTTATTTCTATAAACCAATGAGTTTTCCTGACAAACAACTTTCTATCAGCCCACTCACTGTCCCCCATTTTTTTGCCTTTAAAAATCTGCTTGTAACTGCTGCTAATAGCAGTGTGTATTCAGGGCAACTTGAATCTATTCTCCCTGGTTGCATTTCTCAAGTTTGGCCCAAATAAACTCTCTACTTATATTAATTTTGCCTCAGCTTCTCTGTTTTAGGTCAACAGGCCAATTTTCTGAAGGGCCTTGGGAAATTAATTGATTTTTCAGTGTCTTTAGCTTTTTTTTCCTTGTTGCAAGATGGGATTAATGACTTCCAAGCTTTTTATGTGTTACAACTGAAACCAGAAGCCTAACCTTTTAAATATATGCAGTATTATGCAGAATATTTATTCACCTGGATTCTACATCAAACCAAAATTGAAAAGTGAACTATAATTTTTATTTTCTGTCAATCTATTTTTCTTGTATTTTCTACTGACTGAATAAAGCAAAGTGTGTTTCTCCAATGAGAGTTTTCTACATAGACTGGTCTGTACAATACCATCTTTATATTTTGGCAATATTCGCAAATTATTTGGATAGGCTTTTTATTTTGGAAGATTGTCTCCACTCATTCTCTACTACTGTTCCCAAGTTTGGAGTTATAGATAAAATTATTCTCTTTGGGCTTCCCATGAATGCAATGGATATCTTTATTTTGTGGAATTGGGGAACAGATAGATAGCGCCTCTATATTTCTTTTTTAAAGCACGTACTTTTCATTTAAGATGTACAGAAATTACCACAATTAGTTCCATTGTAATGTAATTACTTATTAAAGATTATAAGTAAGAATATGGGATATACTCATGGAAGGATATTTAGAGAAAGGAAAACTAGAAAAAGAGATTGTAAGTTTATACAATAAATAATATGCAAAATAGTTTGAAAATAGCTTAATAATTTATATATAGTGTCACAGTGTTAGTCATTTCCATTCACTTAACTATTCATATGTACATTGTTGCAGATATTCTTTATTATTCCATCATCATCTCAATTAAACCTCTTGGGTATAGTGTTTGAATGCTACTGTGACCATAAATTCCAATAAAACCTAGGAAAAAAGAAACTACTAATAACTGAAAGGGTAAGCAATAAGAATAATATTTTCTAACTTCCTTGAATAAGAAGAATCTTGGTGATGATTTTTATTTATTAATTCCGGAGAGAAAGGAACAAGCTAGTGAGTCAGGAGAAAGAATTAAAGCTTATTAAGTTCACTTATTTCAATTATGAGGAATAGAAAGTTACTGAGACTGAATAGGTGAGTGGCTAATTCTTATGGAAAACAAATATTGAAATCTTTTAAATATGATTTTTTCAAAGTTAAATGGCATAAAATTTGAGAATATCAATACCTTATATGAGTACCAGCATTAGTGAGTCCAGTTTACTTCCTTAAGCTTTAGCAAGTTCAGGTCATATATTTTTCAGACAGAAAGGATGTTATAAGCCCTTCCTTCTGCTGTGTTCTCATAAATCTCTCTAATGCTAGACCTAGGCCTGTATTGAGTGGAAAGCTCAATGTAGACTTCAGAGTTTCCTAAAGAGAAAAGTTCAGGACTTGGCAACCAAGCCTCTAAGTTGCATTTGAGCAGGATAGTGTCAAATGCAGAAGGTGATCTTTTTCCAATCCTGAGAACAAAGGTGCTAAGTAGCCCCAGGTTCTACATTCCTAGAAGTGTCAGCTTTGGGATCAGTTACCTTCAGTTGCTGTGAGGTGACATCTCCCCCACCAAAAATAGTAACATGACTCAGAAGAAGAGGAAGTCTCATTCTTCAAGAGGCCAAGGTTCTTGGAATTGGGGAAGAGAACACTTCCCCAGACTTAAGAATGAAATGCTTTAGGGCATCCATGTGCCTACAAGAAAAAATTCCTTAGATGACTAGCTGCTTTGCTATCAGAATTGCTGATGTCTCCCCATATTGCTGAATTAGGGAAGACAACATTGGAGAAAACTTGTATAGTGGATTCTGCTCAGAAGGGAATAGTCCTCAACCACTATGTTCATTATTTATCTTAACAACCCCTGACTTCTCGCTTCCTGGTTTTTGATAGGTCAGGTGGATCCCACATATACCTGCAGTTCATGCATTGATAGTGAATAATACATGAGAGTTGAAGCTCCAGTTATGTAAATCAAAAGATTGCAACAGGAGACAAACTTATGCTTCCAGGAAAATGGAGTAGACATACTTCTCCCAATTCTTTCTACTAAGTACAGCTAAAAGCCTGGGCATTAAATATAAAATAAATGCAAAAATACCATGAATCTTGGAGAGAAGAAAGCAGACCAAGTAGGTACTTTGGAGCAAAAAGCAACACATTGGTGAGTTCCCTAGGTTTTAGTTTTTGTCTTATATATACCAGTCTAGATGCTGGAGAAGCTAGAATTCCAGAAGTACCAACATGTTTAGATGAAGGATGTCCTAACAAAAGCTCTTTCTCTCTTATGTAAGGAGTACTAGAGGGACAGCCTAATAAGAGAGAATGTTTAGAAAATAGTTACTACTTCAACCAAAAACCATGGAAAGAATTATGGTCCCACCCCACCCTTGTCAGCAAACGTGAGTGGGGAGCCTAGATTCTACTTTTTCAAGGCTGTAGCAAAGCGTCCCAACCGTCCTGTTAGGGTGGTGTCAGATAAGGCCGTCTCTGCCTGGCATTAATGAGCCCCTTCCCCCTTTCCCACAGGATCAGGGTATGTGAAAAGTTCTACCTTTTCACATAGGGGGACTTCTACCCCCACCTGGCAATAATGAGGTACCCTTTCACTTTCCCAATGAGGTAGTTTCAGAAGAGGCCTACTGGAAATATTTTTGCAACTTCCCAGCAGTAAGGAAGTCACATCTCTCCCATGATGTCAGTTGTGACAAAGTATGGAGCACTAAGGAAGCACTCCAGCCCATATCAGCCAGGAAGGTGTAAGTGAAGGCTCAGTAAGACACCAGAATTTCCACTTCTACTCAGCAATAACAAAGAGTTTTCCCCATCAGGTGTTAGTGAAAGTTTATAGGGAACCTGGACTTCTCTACCCAATTGGCAGTAATGAGGTGGTACCTCCTCTTCTTACCCCAGATTGGTGTCAGAGGAAGACATGGTGTCAGAGGAAGACATGGTGTCAGAGGAAGACAACCAAACCAGCAAGTGTAAATAAGATCTAAAATGTAATAAAAATGTACAAAATGTTCAGGTTTTAATGAAAAATTTACTAATCATTATCAAGAACCAGGAAAGAAATTGAATGAAAAAAGATAATCAACAGATGTCAACATTGAAAGACAGAAATATTAGATTATCTGATAGTTTAAAGCAGCCATCATAAAAATGTTTCAATGAGCATTTGCAAGCACATTTGAAAAAATGAAAAATATAGAAAGTCTCAGAAAAAAATAGAAGAGATAATAACCAAATATTTTATTTTATTTTATCTTATTTATTTATTTATTTTTTTGGAGATGGAGTTTTGCTCTTGTTGCCCAGGCTGGAATGCAATGGTGTGATCTCAGCTCACTGCAACCTCTGCCTCCTGAGTTCAAACAAATCTCCTGCCTCAGCCTCCCGAGTAGCTGGGATTACCGGCATGTGCCACCACTTCCAGCTAATTTTGTATTTTTAGTAGAGAATGGGTTTCACCATGTTGGTCAGGCTGGTCTCAAACTCCTGACCTCAGGAGATCCACCCACCTTGGCCTCCCAAAGTGCTGGGATTACAGGTGTGAGCCACCGTGCCTGGCCGTATTTTATTTTATATTATTATTTTTGAGACAGAGTCTTGCTGTGTCACCCAGGCTGGAGTATAGTGGTGCGACCATGGCTTACTGCATCCTTGATTTCCCAGGCTCAAGTGATCCTCCTATCTCAGCCTTCCAAGTAGCTGGGATCACAGGCATGCACCACCACGCTGGCTCATTTTAAAATTTTTTTGTAGAGACAGGATCTCCCTATGTTGCTCAGACTAACCTCAAACTCCTGGACTCAAGTGACCCTTTCTCCTTGACTTTCCAAATGTCAGGATTGCAGGTGTAAGCCACCACTCTCAGCCCCACATAATATTCTTCAACTGAAAATCTACAATAGCAGAAGTAAAAACTAAATGGACGGGCTGAACAGCAGAATAGAGAGGACAGAGGAAAAAAAACCAATGAAATTGAGGATAGAACAATAGACATTACACAATCTGAACAATAAGGAAATTAGACTGAAAAAAAAAATGAACAGAGCCTCAGAGACCTGTGAGACTAAAACAAAAGGTATAACTTATGTATCATTGAAGTTCTGGAAGGAGAGGAGCCAAAAAGTAGAGCTGATAAAATACTTGAAGAAATAATGGCTGAAAACTTCCAAAATCTGACAAAAGCAAAGTACTGTAGATTCCAGAAGTTGAGTGCATATCAAATAACATAAACTCAAGGAATCCACACAAACACATTAGCTTCTGAAAAATAAAAACAGAAAAAATTTTGAAATCAGCAAGAGAGAAAAAATATGGGGGAAAATGACTCAAATGGCATGAGATTTCTTATCAGAAACTATGAAGGTCAGGAGGCTGTGACACAATATTTTTCAAGTGCTGAAAGGAAAGAACTTTCAGTCCAGAATCCAACATTAAGTGGAGCTATCCTTCAAGAATGAAGGGGACACCAATACATTCTCAGATAAAGAAAAAATTAGAGAATTTGTCATCAGGAGACCTATCCTAAAAGAATGGTTAAAGAAAATTCTCTAAACAGAAAGAAAACAACAACAAATGAAATATAAAATCAAGGAGGAAAAAGGAAATGGCAACAAAAATGGCAAAATTTAATGCACTTTCCCTTCTAAATTATGCTTGTTGGTTGAAGACAAATTATAATATTTTCTGATGTAGTTCTCAATATATGTATAGGAAATATTTAAAACAATTTTAAATGGGGAGGATAAATAATTTAAAGAGGGGTAAGTTTTTAATACTTCACTCATACACCAATATACATTTGACACTAGTTTTTTATAATGTAATACCTAGTGCAACTACTAAAAATTATGTAAAAAGAAATACACTTAAAAACACTGCAGTTAAATTAAAGTAAAATTCTAAAAAGGGTGATCAAACTAAACAACTAAACATACTTCTAGCATATAACCCAGCAGCCATACTCCTTGGTATTTACCCAAATGAAATAAAAACTTATGTCCACTCAAGAACCTGCACATGGATGTTTATTTATAATTGCCCAAACTTAGAAGCAACCAAGATGTTTTCTAGAAGGTGAATGGATAAACAGCAACAAATTCATACAATAAAATATTATTCAGCATTATAAGCCATCAAGCCGTGAAAAATATGGAGAACCTTATACAGTATATTACTAAGTAAAATAAGCTAAATTGAAAAAAGTAGGTACTGTATACCTTAACTATATAATGTCTGGAAAAGGAAAAACTATTTAACAGTGAGAAAAAATCATTGGTTGCCAGGGATTAAGGGAGAGTGTTGTTCAAGGGTCAACTATATATAAAAAGTTTTACAACATGTCCAAGTGGGATTACTCCAGGGATGTAAGGCTTGTTAAATATTTTAAAATTATTTAACAAAATACACGATATTAACAAGCTAAATTAGAAATATTACATGATTATATCACAATCAATGCAAAAACATTGATGAAACTCAGTACCTAGTCATGATTTTACAAACTCTTTGAAAAATAGAAATAAATGGAACTTCCTCATCTTTATAAAGGGCATCTATAAAATACTTATGGGAAACATAATACATAGTGGTGGAAACTCAATGCTTTTTTTCTAAAATTGAGGTTTAACACCATATGGTTACTCTCATCATTCTCATTCAACATGGTGCTAGAAGTTCTAGCCAGTGCAATAAGGCAAAATCTCAGTGCATCTACATAAAAGCTCCTAGAAATAATAGGTAAATTCAGCAAGGTGACAGGATAAAAGACAAATATACAAAAATCAGTTATGTTTTTAAATACTACCAATAAACAAATAGACATTGAAATTAAATATTGATTTCATTTATGCTTGTTCTAAAAATCAAATACTTAGGTGAAATTGAATAGCTCATGTAAAAGATTTTATGCTCTACAAAACACTGGTTAAGGAAATCAAGAAAGACCTAAATAAATGAGACATACTATGTTCATGGATTGAAAGACTCAACTTAGTAAGGATCTCAATTATCCTCAAATTGACATACAGAGTTAGTGCAATTGCTATCAAATCTCAGCATGTTTTTTAGATATAGACAATTATTCTACAATTTATATGGAGATATATGGGTTCTAGAATAACAAAAATCATGATAAATAATATGGCAGGAAGAATCATTTCATTCAATTTGAAGAGTAATTATACAGCTGTCTTTCTCTATAAAATACAATGTATATACAATACATTGTATACAATAACCATGACTGTGTGATATTGGCAGATAAGACACATCGATTAGTGGAACAAAGTAAGGACCCAGAAATAAACACACACAAACATGCCCAACTGATTTTTGACAAGGTGGAAAAACACAAAGGTGTAGAAAAGATAGCCTTTCAACAAATATAGCTGGAGCAATTGGACATCCATAGGCAGAAATATAAACTTTCAGCTATATTTCATATCATATAGAAAAATCAAGTAATGAATATCAATGTATAAATAAATATATAGTTCATATACATCTTTAGTTTAAAAATATAAAAGTTTTACAGAAAAACTTCAGAGAAAATTTTCAAGATCTAGGGGTAGGCAAAGAGTTCTAAGACTTAACACAAAAAGCATAGTCTATTAATATAAATTGGTAAAGTGTAATTAGTCAAAATTAAAAATTCTTGCTCTGCAAAATACCCTTCAACAGGATGAAAAACAAGCTACAGACTGGGAGAAAACATTTGCAAATGATATTTTGCAAAAGGAATTAATATCTAGAATATATAAGGAACTTAAAAATTCAACCATAGAAACAAAATAATCTGGTTAGAAAATGGGTAAAAAAATGGAGATATTTTATAAAACAGGATATAAAAATGGTGGATATACATGAAAAGATGTACAATCTTATGAATGAGTTAAAAAATGTATATCAAAACCCCAATGAGATAACATCACATATCAGAATCATTAAAAGTAAGTGACAAAACCAAGTGCTAGTGAGTAGGCAGAGGAACTAGATTATGCCTATACTGCTTATGGCAATATAAAAATAGTACAGCTCCTCTGATAGTGATTTTGACAGTTTCTTAAGTAACCAAACATGGAGCTACCATATGACTCAGCAATTACACTTCTTAGCATTTATCCTGGAGAAATTAAATTTTGTAATCACAGAGAAACAAAAGCTTATAGCAGCTTTATTTGTAAGAGCCCAAAATAGAAATGACTCAGATGTCCTTCAGCTTGCGAATGGTTAATCAGTGGTTTGCATGGAGTACTATTCAGTAATAAAAAGAAATGAAGTATTGATACATGCAAAATTTGGATGTAGCTCTACAGAATTATTCTGAGTAAAAAGTTATTCCTGAATTGTTACATGATATGCAATTCAATTTATATAATATTATTTTAATTAACATCTTTATACAAAATCCATAAAACACAAAATTCACCCACCTGAAGTACAGAATTCAACAGTTTTAGTATAGCACAGAGTTGTGCAACCATCACCAAAATCTAAATTTAGATTATTTTCATCCCTTCATAAAGAAACTGTGGAAGGCACCAAATTGAAATTCTTTTTCACAATTTCATGGGTAGAACATTTGTTCTTATCATAGACCTTAGCAACCTCAGCTTATGATTTATTTTCTTTTCTTATTAAGTGGAGAATTTTCACCTTTTTACTTGAAGGAAGCATGTGACAGCTTCGCTTGGGCATATCAGAATTGCCAGCATCACTACTCTTGCACTTTGGGGCCATTATTAAGTGAAATAAGGATTACTTGAACACAAGCACTGCGATACTGCTACAGTCAATGTGATAATGCAGCTGGTGACTAAGTGACCAAGGATGGGGAGCTTCTACAGCGGGGAGACTCTGGAAAAAGGGAGGATTCACATCCAGTGGCATTGGGACAGGACAGAGTGAGAGTTCATCATGCTACACAGAACAGCATACAATGTAAGTCTTGTGAGTGGATTATCTCTGGAATTTTCTATTGACTACATTTGTACTACAGTTGTATGTGGGTAACAAACTGGAAAGTGAAACCTGGGATAAGGGGGAGGCTACCGCAGATAGCCCAGTATTTCTCATTTTGTGGATTTGTTTATCTTTTCTGCTCACATTCTTTTCTGCTCACATTCTTTTCCTTCTGCATTACCATTTTAGTAAAAATAGATAGCATCTATGTGGTGTTTAGTATGTTTCTGGCACAGTCGAACATTTTACAAACATTATATCATTTAAAACCTCTTAACTTTTTCAGGCCCTTAAAATTAGCTTAAGACAGTGAGTCACTTCCAGTGTCTTTACTAGATCTCGTTAAGTCATTTCTAGTTTCTTTACTAGATCTCATTTTTTGATAAGCACAGTTGCCATCTCATTTTATGTGCTTTAAAAATACAGTTTAAATAAAGAAAAATCATTTAGAAGTCATATGTGTAGTTTTCTTCTCTAAAGTTTATTTCATCAAAGTTATAATTAATTTTCTGAAAGTTTATAGTGTGGAAACATCATCAAAGTTTTATGCAGAGAGGCATTGAGAGATATATAAATAATCATTATATCACCTTATTTATTGTTTGTGTGCGTGTGTGTGTATATATATATATACACACACACCCAGGCTGGAGTGTAGTGGCACGATCATATACTGCAGCTTCCAACTCCTTTGCTCAAGCAATCCTCCCGCCTCAGCCTCTTAGCTGGGGTTACAGGCATGCAACATTATGCCTAACTAATTTGTTCTTTATTTTGTTTGTTTCTTTTTTTTTTTAGAGAGGGGACTCTTGTTGTGTTGCCCAGGCTGGTCTTGAAGTCCTGACCTCAAGTGACCCTCCTACCTAAGCCTCCCAAAGCAATGGGATTAATGGTACAAGCCACCTCACCTGGCTATAATTATATTTTGATTCAAATTACCACTATTTTGAACTTGATTGATTTTTAATGTTGAAGAAAATGAAAATTACTGTCATAGAAGTTCACGTTATGAGCATGTATTCACAATGGAATGTCACTTTTGTCCCTCTCCTGGTTTTGGATATGAGAAATTTCTCATGATCTCAAAGTGTTTCTAAGTTGTTTTTTTCCTAAAGAGAAAAGAAAAAAAGGGCAATAGTCAACTCCATTAACAAACCACCATCTCGTGACAACACTAGGGAGGCGGTCTCTGTTGTTGGTAGGTGTTTCCTATTAAGAGTGGGTATTTATCTATTATCCATCACCACTGCCACATGCATCTGCTTACATTCATTGCTGGCTAAAAACGGACTCAGTAGCCAAGATCCCCTTCTTCCTGACCCCTCAAATCTACTCACCTACCTGCTTTATGAGACCCCTACAGTGCTGGCTGATGATCTCTTTTCAGCTGTTTTCCTGGGCATTGGAGTTTCTGACTGTTTGTCCTTGCCCACCACTGAATGGTCAGCAGAGCTTCCAAACTGGTTGAGAGATCTGAACCGCTGGATCACTCACTATAGCTTTCAGGGAGGTCTCCTTTCCTAGTGATATCTTCCCTGCTTCCTCAAAACTCACCTTAGTTTCTCTGGTCCTGACTCCAGTCCTCCATCGTTTACCACTATTATTAATCAGAATATTGACCTATTCATTAAATATAGTATAAGCAAGCATTTGTATGTTATGATGATATGATAATGTAAACTCTTAATTATTTTCCAAAATTCTCAATGTTTGAATTAATAGGGGGGAAATAACTAAAAAAGCATACCATTTTAGTCAAATAATTATAAGATATTTTGGGAATAAATAGTTGAATCACTATGCAGTTAACACTAGTAATGATTGTGAACATGTTGGAAATGACTGAGCGATAAAATATTCAGTTTAGTTATTTGGAAGATTTTAATAAATGACCTGAATCAACAGTGTACTAATCTAATGAGCTATTTGCTGATTGGTTATTATGGGTAGGTAGATCGAGTCTGGAAGAGACTGCTAATGATTTCTTATAAGCTATAAAGTATTGTTAAGTATTTGTTCTGTTCTAATTTTAATTGAGTGACCACTGTATAAAATCCACTCCACAATAAGTGAGCACACAGGAATTCTATATTCACAGGATTATAGTCAATTTGAAAGGTTGATGGACCCACTGCTTGTTTTTGTAAATAAAGCTTTATTAGAAAACAGCCACACTCACTTATTAGTGTATAATCTGTGGCTGTTTTCATACTATTACAAAGATGTTGAGTAGTTGTGACAGAGACCAAACGACCTGTAAAGCCTAAAATATTTAGAGATATATCTCACCCTTTACAGACACAGTGTGCTGACCCCTTGCCTATTATAATATCAAAGCATAATGGCAATACCACAGGTATATCCTTAAAGGAACTGAGAAAAAAAAAGGAGACACTTCTGATATTAAAAAATATGCCTGTTCTAGATTAGACACTTAACAAATGTCGTTGAATATATTGAAGCTGTCATTTGATTTGCAACATTATGTATTTGAACTTGGAGGTGGGAATTTATATCTGGAAATCCAGTCAAGTGGAACAATGCAAACCAATTTTTAAAACGTCTTCTTCGGTGACCCCTCTACATCCCACAAGTCTGCACCCACTCCCTGTACTTCACCTATCAAGACCCCTGCCCTTCTCCCTAGCACTTCTACTCCGCTGCTTTGCTCACTCTCATTGGTTTCATTGAATATCTTTACTCATTTCCTTATCATTATCTGCCTATGGAATCTTACCCATCCTTCAAGATTCACATGAAATACTATTTTATTCCCACAAAACCCCATCTTCTTGTCCTCACATTTTGAAGTGTTCTTTCAGACATTTGTCTTCTTTAAGCATTAGTCACATTTTTTCTTATGTGACATTTTACACTCATATGTTTTCCCTCTATACACACAGAAAACTGCTAGACTAGACTATAAGCTCCAGGAAGGCACAGTTAATGGTTTTGTTTAGTGTTCCACACAATAGTATTTACAGGTAGTCAGTAAAGATGTAAAACGTGACTGCTGCCACCTTGTCTCTCTCTGTTTTAACTCTCTGAAGAACGTTTTTTGTTATCTGATTTTTCCTTAATGATTATTCTGTTGAAGGACTGCATCCCACCACCAGAATGTAGACATCATTTGAATAGAGATCTTGTCTGTCTTTTTCATTGCTGTGTCCCACTACCTAGAACAACCTGGGTGCTCAATCAAAATGTGGTCACTGAATGAATGAAATTATAAACCTGTAGTTTCAGAAAATGATAGCTTATTCATACACTAAAATAACTTTATTTTGTGGTTAATAATAACTTCGATAAATAAGATTCTCTAATTATCTGTGAGCTAGTGTTCTTATATTTAGAGTTTACTATATAATTATACAGGAAATAGTATGCAAATTCAAAGCCATTAATTCTATAAATATAAAACTCAATTTATCTGTAGGAAGGTATAGCATTCTTCAAGATTATTTTGCAATGTGGCATTTTAAAGGTTTTATACTGATTTTGAAGTTCAGGAGATTGGACAACTCACTAATTATCTTTTAATGCTTCCTATTGCCTGATAAATTTTAGGAGGTTAATTACTTTTCTTTTTTTTTTTTTTTTTTTTGAGACGGAGTCTCGCTCTGCCGCCCAGGCTGGAGTGCAGTGGCCGGATCTCAGCTCACTGCAAGCTCCATTTAGGAGGTTAATTACTAACATGTTCCATTATTATTCTTAAGGATAAGACATGATGGACAGAAATTTCAATGCAATTATTCCATTCTGGTGAGGTTAGAAGGTGCTAGGCAGATAAAGAAATCATCTTATCAAGCAGGAAAACACCATTTACTGAAGAAGGTCTGCTAAACTTTTATCATGACTGAAAATATAAAAAGACACTTTAAATGGATAAATGCAGCTATTGTACAAAATTGACATGGCTGTAGAGATGACAGAGTGAAGAGGTATTTGATCAGTCATTTGTTATAAAAGCTCAGGGAAAACAAAAATTTCTACTTAAAAATTTCTCTTTATTGCTTTCTCATTTTCTTTGACTTGCTAAATTCACAGTTAAATCACATCCATATGTTCTCAGTTTTAACTGCAATCATATTTCTAACATCACCCTTTTCTCGGCTAGAAAAATGACTCCATGTCACATTCAATGCCTCCTTTTATGTTCGTGTTTGACAGAGAGTGCACACATTTAGGGTCTGTGTAGTGGGGAAAGTTTAAAATGGCAAGGCACATTTCACAGTTACTTTCCACTGGCAGATGGTGAAAGACGGAGCTATCAAACTCTAATCTCAGACAGACCTGAACTTGAATTCTTACTCAGACAACACTAACTGTGTTCACTTAAACAATTTATTTAGATTCTGGTCTATAAATTAGGGAGTAACAATAGTACCAGTTTCACTTGACTGTGGTGGGGAGGATAGAAGACAATGCATAGAGGTATAACACATGTGCTGCAAAGTGTGCCAAGCATCCAGAATGTATTATTCCACTTACTGTTCACACCAGCCCTAGAAGATCAGTACTGTTACTACCACAGATCTCAGAGGAAGATACTGAGGCACTGACTGAGACACAATCAAATCTTGGTATACAAGGAGGATTTATATGTATTACTTGACTAAAATTATACTAATAATCAATGAGCATTACATTGACCCTGGAATTAGGTTGAACACATTGCATGGGTTTCTAAATTAATCTTCACCTCATCCCTGTGCAATACTACTGTCGCTCCCATTTTGCAAATGAGAAAATTGAGATTTAAAGGGATTAAGCTATATATCTGAAGTACTAGAGCTAGAAAGCACAAAAATCCAACCTACAAACCCAAGAGGTCTGATTTCAAGGACTGTAAAAGTAACCTGTAGTACTGTATACTCATTCTGGCCCCTTACTTTATACACAAATGACTAAATTAGTGAAAGGGGATGGATTTGACAGAGAAGTAGGTCATGAAATAAGAAGGCAAAGAGCATCCAGAG